TTTCTCTGACTTTGTTTTCAAAAGAAAAGCAAATATGGGCAGGGGACTGAACCATTCACAGTAGAAACAATGTTCAGCTTGCCCAAACTATTTCCATTTATACTTTGTATTTTTCTTTTTCTCTTCTTAATGATATGGCTTAACGCTGGACCATTCACAGTAGAAACAATGCCCAGCTGCCAGTTCACATGCAAATATACATAAAATACTTTCCTTTATACTTAGTTCAAATTATGTGCGTGGTTTTCAGGCTAAGCCATTCACCATAGAAACAATGCTTAGCCTTAGACCAAAAAAATCCTCCCTCAGAATAACCAAGATTTTAAACCCCTTCAATCAGACAACCCTCAGAGTTAACTAAGGTAGCCAGGCCATTCACATTACAAACAATGTCTGGCTCCCCAGAAAACAATCAAATAAACACAGCGGCCAGGCCTTTCACAGTAGAAACAATGCATGGTCCTTCAGAAAACATTCAAATAAACATAGCTCTGAGTCATTCACAGTAGAAACAATGCTCAGGTTTTGGTTGACCCGGTCAAACGCATGCAGTCTACCTTCCTTCCACCTTCCCCCAATTCATCCTTAGTATGCTTTCAATCAGAACAAAATAGAAACTTAGGCTTCACTCTCACACATTCTTTCCAGTCAGTCTGATTAGATCCTGAAGAGAAAGCAAAAACCATAGGGACAAACTCATGCATACATCAGCCATATTGCAGGGGGATAAACAAACATGGGTGGTAGTAGGTTGTACAGATGGAAATGGTTTACCTGACGATTCCCTGCCTCCAGAACTCCTCCTGAGTTCCGGCAAAGCTCCCGCAATCGGTGGGAAGACTCCCCACATAGTCTTGACGCGGACCTACGGGTTGCAATCCCGCCTGCCGCCTTCCTCTCGTAACCAAGGACTAGACTGAGACTTAGAATGGCAGAACGAGATAGATTTGAGACTCTCAGATCCAAGGATGGTGCTCTCAGATTCGCAAGAGAAGGCCTTGTGATCTTGGATCGCCTGAAGGCCCCGCAATGGCGGCCAACTGACAGCTTGGCCAACGAAATCAAACTGCTGAGGTAACCCCTCCTAACGAACTCTCCTGCCTGCAGCACTTCTCAAGTCTGGGCCACCTCTCCTCAACCTCGTTGTGGCTGCATAACAGTCTGCAACAGTCCATATGCACAACAACAGTTTCCTAGTGGCGATCACCAGCCACAGCGGCATCTGCCAGCCGCAACAATCATAGCCCGCACTCAGTCCACAAGCATCGCAGCATCACCCAGCGGTCAACAACACACAGTATGCAGCAGCAGATTCGCCTTAGTAGTTTGAACACTCCCTTCCCATGCTACACCATCGTCTCCCGTGGTGAGCCTGTAGTCGCATGGCTCTAACCGGTTACCCTCAAGGCAGCGCAATCATCCATAGTAGACTCGGCAGTCGCCGCTGCAGCACAACAGCCGAGGCGACCGGCAGAACGGAGATCAACATCGCTCCGGCCCGGCTGTGGAACGTAGGCTGAGATYGGCTATGGACCGTGGYTGAGCTTGGCTATAGGACCCAAGKTGAGGTTTGTCTGTKGGACACAGGCTGGACTCGCTTTTAACAAGAAAGATCACTCARTCGGTCGTGGCAGAAAACTGTCACGGCCAGCAGGAGGGTCTTTCCMCTCCTATTAGTTTGGCAATGTCCGGCGTCGAACTTGAGTCCGTACTTCAACAGCCCAAAGCTGTAGTAGCTAAGTGAGGTACGTCCGCACAGTAATATCATTACAGTCTGCCAACAACACATGGCCTCCGGATCATGCTGACARCGGCCRATCACYGCGACCTTGYCTCRGCCCCCTTCAAAATACGCAAGGCGGGGACGAATCTTCTGTTAAAACGCCGTCAGGTGCGTCACCCGGTGGGCACAAACGCTACGACCAAACCCACCCCGAATACGGCGAGCAGTAGCTCGCAGCTACAGTCGCCGATCCAGTCAATCACACGATGGCCAAAACGACGATGTGCAGCATACCCGTCTAGGCAAACCTTGCAAGGGCGGGCCACGCCGGCCAATCAGACCGAGGCGGACGAGTTTTTCCGTTTAACTATGGCAATGCGTGATGGTACCCCAATGCCTTCTCCCTTTATGCTCRCGCACGGCCAATAGGTAGGTCTCCGGCCCGGCCCGGTCGCATCATGCAAATTCGAATGGATCTTCCGCCGGGACAGGGCTGGATACATCCGCCAGGCAAGTCTTTTCCCAACGCCCCTCTCTCTCCGCCGTAGCTTCGCGCAGCCCCTTTTCTACTAATCTTCCTTTCTACTAATCTTCTTCGAAAACTGACCTTACCTCCGAGGTCGCCCGGCCATAAAACCCCTGCATAGCACTTTCTCC